GCATTTCAGGGTTAATGGTTGTTGTGAAGTTGTTGTTAAAGTTCATAGCATCTAATGTCAAGTTGTATGACCTCATATCCTCAACTGTAGAATATTCTTCTCTTGGATAATATTTGCCATCTATGTTTATATGATATTTAATACCGGGGTTGTAGAAACAAGAATAGTCATTTATAGTTCGTCTGAACAGTACAAACATAGTATCTGCATGTTTCATTGCAGTTGTTAAGGCAATATCTGTTCTTGCACCTGGGTCAGCACTTTGGTTTCCAACTTCACCTGCAAAGTCTTTGACAGATATTTGGTGTATAGGGAACATAAGTGGAACTGCAATATATTTGGCAGCTAAAGCATTTGAAATATCTGGGTCCAACATATAAACGGCAAGTCTGCTTTCTATTCTCTTGCATTCAAACTTTTCGCATGTAAACTTAACTGGGTCCCAAGCAGTTCCAGCAGCATTGAAATAATAGTTTACTTCAGTGTTGAAGTTTGAGAAACCAAAGTCTAAGTCAACTTTGTCTTTGCAAAAGTCACAGAACTTGGCTCCACCAGTTCCAGCTACAGTAAGAGTGAATGGGTCTTGTGTTGGTGCAATGACTAAGTTATTTTTGCTTGGAGTAAGTTCGATAGAAATTTTTCCTGCCCAGTTTGGCAAGTATCTTAAAAACCTGAAGATGAGGAAAGATGACAAAGGAACTCTAAGTTTCAGTTTTACTTTAGTGGCAGCAGTTCCATCTGAACCAGAAAGGTTAACATAAACTCCTGGAACGTTAGGGTCAAGTCTTCTTATTTTCTCAATAGTTGCATATTGGTCTGTTTGTTCTCTAGCTTGTGGTTGTACTGAGTTTCTCAAAGCGAACCATTCATAGTTTGCCCATGTTACTGTTTGAACTAAGTCAGAGTTAGAATATATCTTATATCCCATGAAAACTTCTGGAGCATATTGGTATCCGACATAGAAAATTCCATTGCAACCTTTCTTGTCAGACAACTTGGCAGAAGGTTTTATTTCAATGTCTTGTTCCACGTATAAGAATGAGTTGTCAATAGAAATTATATGAAACCTGTCGCAAGCAATATCTACTGTTGTTGAAGAACCTTCTCCAAACTCACCTACGTTTCCATAAGAAACAGCAGTTGTATATTCGTAAGTTCCAGGAACTATTTCTGACCTTCTAGTGGCATTGTCGCATTCGTTATACCATTCGGAAACATTTCCATTCATGGCATCCAAAACTGTTGGCGTTATATTCTGAGCGGCGTACATTTCATATGGGTAAAAATATAGAATAGTTGGATTTATGTGTCATAATAGAACCCACTCGGACCAAGCTTTACTTTCTTCCTGACTGAGTTTTTAACTCTTCTTTTTCCTTCATTGCCACTACTTTCACTAGATGAAGTTACTTCTTCACTACTTTCACTTTGTTCTACTCTTCTCTTCTTCTTTGGTGTCGCTTTTGGTAACTTGCCCTCTGCTTCAAGTTGTTGCATCTTTGCCTCATGTTCACCTAGTATGTTGTAAATTTCCCATGTCCTTTTTGCCTTTGGGCTCTGGTCGCCCATCTCAGGTAACCTATATCCTAGAAAGATTTTGTCATAGTTTGTATTTGAGTCTTCGCGTATTGTTTGCATGACTCTTTCCTGAGTTTCCGGTTCAAGCTCTTCAAATATAGCTTGTCCATATGGAATAAGCTCGTTTCCAAATATATGTTTTTGTAGCCATTCTGGTTTTCTTTCCATGTTACCAACAATATCTTTTGTGAATGGGAAAGCTTTTACCCAACGTTTCAGGCTTGCGTCATTTATTTCTGTAGTTGGTTTTATTTTGTCAAGGAACATGTTTTTCAATACTAACATTTCATTTGGTACTGTCCATTTGAGTTTACTTAAATATTCATCCCTTCTCGGTTCATTGTCTGCAAAGTAAGTTTTTATGACATTTTGTAAACTTTCGTTTGCAAGGTCATGTACAATAGGTTCTCTTCCTTCTCTATCCCTAACTTTCTTTCTAAACTCTTCACCAAATATACCATCTCTATGGTTCTGTGTAGTTCTTTGAGATAAATGTTCTAGAACGTCAGGTGTTATATTTCCTTCAGCCATGTTCATTTCATACTGGTCCAAAATATCTGCATGTTTCATATCTTTCAATGGCATTAAAGCCGCGCTGAAAATACCAGCTATATCTGGTTCACCATTGTCTTCCATTGCGTCTACAACTTCTTGGAATTGTGGTTGTAAGTTTATGAACCACCTATCCGGGTTAGCTTTATGACCCCATCTCATTGTAGTTCCATAGTCTGCAGAAACAAAAGTAGGTTTGTTTCCATATTGGTTAGGTTCTGAATGAACTTTAAACAATGTTTCATTTCTATATGTTTTGTCGAAATTTAACCTTTTATTTTCACCGAGTTCAGCCAAAGATTGAACGTTATATGGTCGTAAGTAAAAAGGGTTGTTGTATTTGTGTACATTTTCTTTCAGTACTTCCATTCTATGCTGAATATTTTCATCTGGTGTTGGAGTCTTTTGTATGTCGGCAAACATTTTTCGATATTCTTCTACTCTGTCAGCCGAATTTTTCTTAGACTCTTGGAAAGATTCCATATTCACCTCATACTCTTGTTGAGGGTCAAGATTTTTCGGCTGTTCCAAATCTTCATCTAGTTCTGTGAAGTTAGTTTCCAAAGGAGGGACTTGTTCGTTTCCTTCAGGCTCTTCTAGCTGTTGTTGCTGAACTATTTCTTCCATGTCTGGTTGTATCTGAACTTCTTCCTGTTGAGTTTCTTGTACCTCATCTGGTGGCATTTCATATATTCCGAGACCGTTTTTAAAAAGTTCCCTATCTAAGTCATCCGGACTCATAAACCTTTCTTCTTTCGTTCCGTCTCTATTTTTTACGCGTTTCATGAAGAGAGTTGAATTGTCATTTAGCTCTGACACCAAATATCTCGGAGTAAATTCGTTCATGTCATTTGGATGATATGCTATTAAATCATATCCCTTAGCGAGCTTGTATTTTCCAGGTTTGAAATTATATCCCATTTGGTGCTGAGCCATAAAGCTAAATAGGTTCGGGTCAGTATTTCCTTCCTTGAACTTTCTAATAGCTTCTTTATATCTGTCACTAAAGTCAAGAGTATCTGGGTAACCATAGTCTTCTTTAAGCATTTTTAAGAAATCTTGGTTTCCTTGTTCTCTACTTCTTTTATGTCCTTGCTCTGTTTGTTGTTGTTGTTGTGCTGGATTTTGAACTGTTGGTTGCTGTGTTGGTTGTGGAGGTGGTTGTTGTGCTGGTTGTTGTTGTTGTGCTGGATTTTGAACTGTTGGTTGTTGTGTTGGTTTTGGTGCATGCCTGTGTCTGTGTCCATGTGACGATGTAAATGTTTTAGGTAGTCCTGGTGCAGGTGCTTCTCTTGGAGGGTTTGGTGGTATATAAGTTCCACCAGCTGGCACATATGTTCCATCTGCAGCATAGTGTCCTACCTGACTTTTCGTTTTTAAGAAAGCATTTACTAGGTCTGTTTTGGTCTGTTGTAACTCTTTTTCTTGACTTTCCACAACAGTTGCTCTAACGGCGTCATAGGCACTTTGAACTGCCTGTCTCGTTGCTGCATCTGTTATTTTCGTCATATTTTGTGCTACTTCTCTTAACTCTTTGTCGAAACCTTCAGACTTCAGTTTCTTTCCAGATGAGAAGTCGTTCACTAGTTTCACCTTACTATGAAGAGCTTCGAAGGCGTTCTTAAAGTCAGCATTTGTTAAAGCTTCATTTGAACTGTCTTCATCCGCTTGTATTTTTGTCCTTATTGACCCTATAAGCTGGGCTGCTTTAGCGTTGGCTTGGGCATCTAACCAGTCATTGTTAGCTTTTATATATTCTGCGCTTTTCATTGCCTTTTGCATGGCTGCGTCGTTATTTTTACTTTCTTGTGCTAAGTTTTCATACTGTACGGTTTGGTTTTGCAACTGTAAAAGTTTTTCTGCCTTTACATTTGCTTCAACTTCTTTTTTATACTCATCGCTATCCATATATGTCTTCAGGGCTTTTTGTTTTATCTCTTCATCTTTCAGTACTTTATATTGAGTAGTATGGTTTTTCAAATTTACAACATCTTGTTCCATTTTTGCTACTTCTGCTGCTTTTTCTGACACTTTTTTCGCATATTCCTCTGTACTTAGTTCTTTCAGTTGTTCTTCTTTCTTCTTTTTCTCTACGTTTAACTCATTGAGTTTCTTTGTGTGTCTGTCATATTCTAGTTTCTTTTCGTTTTCACTTATTTGCTTCTGTATGTCTATGTTTGACTTTTTGACATCTGATATTTGATTTTTGAGTGAACTCAAATTCATTTGACTTTGAGGGTTATAGGCTGTTCCGTCTGCAGCTCCACCATAGCCTGCCATTTTCGCTAAAAGTGCCGCTCTTAAACCTCCACTCTGTGCACCAAGAACTCGGTTTAAAAGCATAGGATTGCTTGACATTTGTTGCAACATAGTGGGGTCATTCAGCATTTGTTGTTGCAACTGTTGTTGTGGTGTCAGTTTTACTATTGGATGTTTCAATGCTCTCTTCCTCTTACGTATATTCTTACGTAGCTTACGTGGCATTTTAAGTGAAGTTAAAAAGCGGTTTTTGACAGATGTTTATATGACACTTTTTGTTCAGCTCAAAAAACTACTCGGTCAAAGTGTTGTCAGTTTTGTAAAATAACCGTCCTATCTCATTCTATAAGGGGAAAAAGGCTTCTCAAAGTATACTTCCTTGGAACGCCTGTAACTTTTCCTGTAGCGACGATAGACCCTTACTTGTCCGGACAAAGTTATACTAAACATCTTCAGGGCTAGAAGGGGCGCAGCCCCTGGAAGCCCCACTACCTTTTTTTTTTTTTTTTTTTTTTTTTTTTTTTTTTTTTTTTGTTCAATAAAACATCTATTATTTTTTTCAAGATATTTTTTTCTCTCCCAAAATTTGATATTTCCGTTTTAAATTTTTCATGAGTGACGTAGAAGAATCAATTATTGAAAATACACCAGAAGAGGAAGATGCCAATATAGCTGAAGAAGAACCAAAACCTGAGGAAGAGCAAGAGGAAGAAAATAATGAGCATGTAACTATCGAAACTCAAGATGAAGATAATGAAAACAAGGAAAATCAGCAAAATCAAGAAGAAGATAACAATGAATCAAAGCAAGAAATTAAACAGAAACCAGACTTTATGCTTACTCAGAAGAGATTTGATTATGAAAATGTTAAACGAAGAAAACAAGAATTAGCGCAAGAAAATACATCAAAAGAGACAAAACAGAGAGGTAGATCTACAGCACAGCGTACTGATGTAATTTTTACAAACAAAAACATACAAAATCTCGAAAAAATTAAATTCAATCCGAAATGCACAATGATAGATCTTTCTTCTAACAAAATTGTTAATTTTGATGGAATGCCACATCTTAAATGTCTCACTTCGATGCAATTTGATTCAAATCCAATTAGATCGTTTAAAGGAGCTGTAATTCAAGAGCGTCTTAAATGGGTTTCAATGAAGTTATGTCCAATATCTCGCAATCCATACTTCAAGCTGATGGTTTTGGTTGCATTTGACAATATCGTCAAACTTGAGAATCAAAATGGGACAGTTACCTACAAAGGATCAATTACAACAATCAATGATAGCAAAATCAACGATAAGCTTCGTGAACAAGCTTACAAAATTGCAGATCATCTTCGTCCAGAGTTAGTTGAAGGAAAGATCATTACAAACTTAACACCACTTCGCATGATCAACAACGAGGCAGATGAATCTTTACCAGAAGGCAGAAAAGTTGATCCTTCTCCACAATTATTGGAAACAACTACTAGAATGGTTACAAAGATGGAATCACAGGTAAAGAAAGTTAAGACAGAACATGAAATGTCCAATTCGCAAAACAAACCAAGGTTACAGAGTGTTGCTGTTAAATGCAATTTGTTGCTTAATGAAAACACTGATTTAAAGTCTTTTGTTAAGAAGGACGTTCTTAATAATGTTGTTGATCGCATTAATAAACTCAGACTTGAATTTGAACCAACAGAAAATGACGAAGAAGAAGAGTTATATGAAGAGGAGGAAGAAGAAGTTCCAAAACTTGAAGATCAATCAGCTGAAGAACCAAAGAAAGAAGAAGAAATTCATGAAGAACCAAAGAAGGAAGAAAAAGAAGACGGAAAGCAGCCAGATGCTGAAGAACAACAAAATCAGAATGCCGAAGAAGAAATTTCAGAAATACAATTGAAAAATGTTGAAACCAAGCAAGACGAAGAAGAAAACGTCCAAGAACAAGTAAAGAAAGAAGAGTTGAAACAACAAGAAGAGGAAGAAGAAGAGAAACATGAAATACATGAAGAGATTCATAATGCTGAAGAAGAAGAGAAACATAAAGAGGAAGAAGAGAAAGGAGAAATGAAGAATGAAGAGGAAGAAGAGAAAGGAGAAAATGAAGAACAGAAACATGAAGAGGAAGAAGAAAAGAAGAATGAAAATGAAGATGAAGAAGTAAAGAAGGATAAAAATGAAGAAGAGAAACATGAAGAGGAAGAAGAAAAGAAGAATGACGAGGAAGAGAAAGAAAACAGTGAACAAAATCAGAGTGAAAAACCAAAAGTGAATGAAGATAAGTCAAAGGTAGAAGAGGAAGAAGAATGCTTTGCAGAGGAAGAAACTACAAACGACCAAGATATTAAAGAAGAGAAAGTAAATATTGAAGAACCAATGAATGAAACAGAGCAGAACATCAAAGAGGAGGAAGAAGAAAAGCATGAAGAAAACCTGTTTGAGGAAAACGCAGAAATACATGAAGAGGAATATGAAGAAGAGGAAGAGGATGATATTAGTAACAGCATTGTCCTCAAGAAAGCAAAAAAGATAAATGAAGAAGAGGAATCTCTTGAAAAGGTTCTTGCTCAAGGTGCTGAATTAGATCTTTCTGTTGATGAAGAATAAAATTTAAAATTAAAATGTTTTTGCTTATCTTAATTTATTCGATTTTTAGAGATTAGGTTTCTATAGTTCCAAGAGATATGCATTCAAACTAAAATACATTGAATTAACTGATATTTCAATTGTTTTGAAATTATTGGAAAATTCAAAATTCATTGATCTGATTCCTACAAGAAGCTTGTCAATTATATACAATAAAACAAATTTGCTTGAGAATTTTTCAACTAATTTCATTTCAGAAAGTATAAATCTCTTACAAATATCAATAATTTTTAATCAATCAAATACAAAAGACCTGATAATAATATGTGTATATCATTTTCAATTCTAACTTGATTTTAGTTTTTTTCATGTAGTTCTCTTTAACATAACTTACTGATATAAAATGAGCATAAAAAGACGAATAAGTAATTACATCCATGAATGCACTTACCGTAATCATTAATCAAATATGATTTAAAAGTTAACAAGTAACTCAAGATACTTGCATTTGTCTTGATGTTATAGCGCCTTGAAATGCAGATTTTATCCTTAAATGTAAGGAAACAGTCTATTATGATATATCAAGAACCGGTCATTAAAGATAGAAACATCTAGTCTATGGTCTCAATCGAGGCCATAGACTAGAAATACAATCATATAAACTTTTTCAAAAATCACTGCAATAGAAAGATGTGAAATATGCCTTTTATCATTGTTAGGACTCCTTACTTGGCTTTCTCGTAATGAATGATATTGACAGATGTCGAGCATAATGGACGCAATTTTGGTCGAGAACTTTATTGCCGATGAACTTCCTACTTTTATTGAGTCATCGGATTTATTGAATTTCTTTTTGAAAAAACAATTATTATACTATACTTATATATTCTGATTGTTTTTATTAAAATTTATAAAATTTGTCACATTTCTTTATTTTGAAATAATCATAGTCTCATCACACTTTTCAATGCTCGATTTTTAAAAACTGTTTAAAAATGGAGCTTATATTGAAATAGTGTAGAGACTAAAAATTACCACAGACTATTTCAGAGGATTGAGTTGCCACTCAATCCTCTGAAAAGTCTGAGGTAATTTGCAAAATTTATATTATAATAAATGAGTATAAAAATATATCGCATTCTCTTCACAATTTTTGAAGACTATTGACAAGAAAGAAATGTGTTTCCTCTTGGCTTGATTTTGATGAACTTAAGATTTTAACGAATGTTCATCGGCTAACCCCCATCATGTTCGTTCACTCAGCTATCAAAAATTCTGAAAAAAATTTAAATGGGCCGTCACTTATGACTATTTTTCAGAAAGAAAAATTATGTGTTAAGTGGCCACTTATTGAATTTTGTTGAAGTGAACTAAAAAAAATCATTTATTTCATGTCTGCTCTTCGTAAAGCTGCAGAGGAATACCTCACCGTTGAAAGTATTCCAGAATACAAAGAGACTATCAAAGCTATTCTTGATAACGAAGCCGAGCTTAAGAAGTACTTCGGTAGCCGTCTTGCATTTGGTACCGCTGGTATCCGTGGTCGCACTGGCCCAGGCTACACACAAATCAACCCAGGTCTTGTTCTTCAGACCGCTCAGGGCTATTGCAAGTACAGCATTGATACCCTTGGCCTCGAAACAATGCAAAAGCGCGGTATTGTTATTGGCTATGATGCCCGTAAGTACTCTCGCGAATATGCTGAAATCACAGCATCAGTCTTCTTAATGAAGGGTATCAAAGTTTACCTCTTCTCAACAATTATTCCAACACCATACGTTGCTTTCGGCATTCGCCATCTTAACGCAGCTGGTGGTGTCATGGTTACAGCTTCCCACAACCCAGCCACAGACAATGGCTACAAGGTTTACTGGGACAACGGTGCTCAGATCATCGAACCACACGATGCTGGAATCAGCAAGGCCATCCAAGAGAACCTCATCAAATGGGAAGGATTCGATGCCTCCCTCTTCGTTGATTCTCCACTTTGCATTGATCCACTCGATGACGTCCGCGCTGCTTATAGCAAGATGATCCGCGAGAAGCTCTGCTTCCACTACGAAGAGAACAACAAGCCATCTGGCCTCCGTGTTGTTTACTCCGCCATGCACGGTGTTGGCCACAAGCCAACTCTTTGGGCTCTTCACACATTCAACCTTCCACTCCCAATCCCAGTTCCAGAACAGTGCGAAGGCAATGGTGACTTTCCAACAGCCGCCTTCCCGAACCCAGAAGAAGGTGAACCAGTTTTCCGCCACGCAATTGCTCGTGCTAACCTTACAGGCGCTGATCTCATCATCTGCCAGGATCCAGATGCTGACCGTGTTGGCATTGCTGTCCGCCAGAAAGATGGTTCATTCCGCATCCTTCACGGCAACCACACAGGCACACTTCTCACATGGTGGTACATTCAGCACTTCAAGGGCGACCACTCCAAGGCTAAGTTCATGAACTCCACAGTTTCTACAAAGATGCAGCAGAGAATCGCTGAAGTCGAAGGCTTCCAGTACGAAGAAACACTCACAGGCTTCAAGTGGCTCGGAAACGCTGCTCTCAAGGCTGCCGAGGAAGGTGTTACACCACTTCTTGCATTCGAAGAAGCTATTGGCTTTGAAATGGTTCCACACATCACCCCAGATAAGGATGCTATTTCTACAACAGCTGTTGTCATCGAAATGGCTCACTACCTCAAGAGACATGAGAACAAGTCACTCACTGACAAGCTTGATGACATTTATGCCAAGTATGGTTACTACCTCTTCAACAACTCATACTTCATGTGCCACGATCCAGAAGTCATCAAGGCTGTCTTCGTCCACATGAGAACATCTGGCCCAGAAGGCAAGCATGTTCAGAAGGTTGGCCGCTTCAACGTTAATGGTGTTAGAGATATGACACTCGGCTACGACTCTCGTACAGCAGACCATGTTCCAGTTTTACCAAAGCAGTCAGGCCAGATGATCACTTTCTACCTCGACAACGGAACATCTGCTACAATCCGTACATCCGGCACAGAGCCAAAGATCAAATGGTACATCGAACTCGCTGCCGAGAATCTTGAAAAGGCCCAGAAGGATCTTGATGAGGTTGTCAAGGCTATCCAAGATGATCTTCTCCTTCGTGAAAAGTACAATCTCAAGCACACAGATTAAATTTCTATTTCTAAAAAATAAGTGTTAAAAAAATAGCCGTTAATTTTTTTTTCTCAAATTCAAATGTCAATTTCCTCAGTTATCTCTTTAGACCTCCTCAATAACGCAAAGCTTGCATTTGATCAATTTGATGATGACAATGATGGATATATTGAAAACCATTCAATTGAACGATGCATGCGCGCTTTAGGCCTAAATCCAACCTCTGATGAAATGATTGATATACTTCGGGATACCAATAATCGTCCAATATCTTATTTTTCTTTGTTGTATATTATCTTTAGGCATTCAAGAAATACAAACACGTTTGAAGAATTAAATGATGCATTAGAAATATTCGATAAAAACAAAACAGGAAAAATTTACGTAGAAGATCTGGTGCGCCTTTGTAAATGCATTCGAAGACCGTTTTCTGATTCACAAATACAAGATATCCTTAAAGACTGTACTATTACCAAAGGTATGGTCGAGTACAAAGAATTTATTCAAAAACTGCTTTATTCATGAAACACTACCGCAATATTATTTTTTTATTTATAGCTTGAATATGAAATTATTCGAATAATTTCTCTTTTTTTCAGTTCATTACCTCTTTATCTGTTTATAAACTAACTGTTTTTGTAGCAATTATCTTACAAATTATTTCATATTTGCACCAATTAAAAAAGTTTTCCTAATTAAAGTCTCCTAATGATATTCTTGCCTCGATATTGAGTGAACATCTTTCAAAAAGATGAATAAGAGACTTTACGAAGGAATATGAGTTTGTAAATTTTCAATAAAATAAATATTTCATTTTAAAATGTATAAGTATTGTTTTAGTAATATATACATCTATTTATAAAGCTTAGTATTGGAAAATTTGAACTTGGTATTGGTTGAGAATGACATAAAGTCCAGTTGAACGCAAATCTTCTGCTTTCCTAGTGTAAGTTTCTCCAGAAACGAGTTCTTTCACTTGAATATTGCCAGTTCCAGGAGCATCAGATAGAACAACGGACCCACCAGAGGTATTTTCGTTAAAGTTAGCAACAACTAAGATATGCTGAGAACCAGATACCCATTTCCATGCTGGAATTGTTGATGAACCTGAAACCCATAACTGTGTAAATTCACCTTTCTTTAGGGCATCCAAATCTAATACTTTGAACAAAACATCATAAAATTGGGTTATATCTGGTCGTGTGTCTTCAGAAGCAGCGCGGCGAAGATGGACATCAATCTTATTCTTGTAGCCAAGCCATTGATCTTGGAAGAAGAAGCGTAAACCAGGAAGAGTAAGAAGTGTTGCTGCAGCACAGTCCGCAGCAGGATCCCAATTCCAGAATTTATCAACAGTCCTTGGTTCATCGTGGTTTTCTGTGAAATGAGCAGTTTTTGAGAAGAAATCAATGTTATGATTTGCAACATATTGTTGGTAACCGTTAAGATCGTGGTAGTATAGTTTATCTAAAGGATCCTTATCATAAGTCCAATCGAAACCAAAAGAGTGGAGCTTGGAAAGAACATCTCCATAGCTCTCTGCCATAAACTTGAAATCAGGATATGAAGCTTTAACTGCTGATATTGCTTCCGTCCAAAACTCTGTAGTAGGCTTTGTATAACCCCATGATGTAAGTTGAGTTTGCCAATAATCCCAAAATTCATCGTTAATAATGAGATGTGACATATCGCAACGGCATCCATCGGCAACAGATGCAATGTATTTGAGAACTGCTATTTGATGCTTCCTGAATTCGGCATCGGCATAATTATATTGAGCAACATCGGTCCACGGATCACACCAGATGCCACATCCGTAAGCAATGCCGTTGCTCATGTATTTTGAAGGATCAGGGGTTTCACCTTTGGGACAACGAACGTAAAAATTAAGATTTGTGGTAATTGTTGGAGCATCACATGCGGAATGATTTGGAACAAAATCCAGCATTAATTTCATTCCATATGAATGAAGCTTTTGGCGAAGCCATTTAAGATCTTCTTCAGTACCAAGTTGCTTATTCAGTTTGTATTCTGTTATTGAGTAAGGAGAGCCTATTACATCATCATTCGTCCATCCAGGTAAAACTTGATCGTAAGATTTCTTTAAACCGGGATCAGTTCTATCATGTTGTGGGCCTAATTCTCCTATTTGCCAAACACCCATAAACCAGACCCATTCAAATCCTTTTTCTTTCCAAGATTGAAATTCTGAATCTGGAATATCACGAAATGTTGTAATCTGTTTATGCAATTTCTGTGAAAGACCATACAAATATGGACGTGTTGTTATTTCTAAAAGTCTAGTTGGTAATTGCTTCGAATTAGAGAGGAGTGAGAGAAACAATATTGACATCACAAATTTTGATTTTTTTTTCATCGTTTTTGATCAGTATTGTTTTATATGATCAGAATTTTAGCCCAAAAATTCTAGCTAGAGACCATGTATAGTGTGTATATGTAGAAGGCTGCATTTGTTTTTTTGCAAGGACATGACTAAATAAGGCTGCAAATGTACCTTAAGGATTCTGACAAACTATTTGATGATAATGATCCTGTATGGATTTTCTTCTTTGCTACGTCAATTGACATCAAAATTACAATGATGAAAATGATATTACATCATTTGGTATTTTCTTACTTCCAAACGGTTCGTCTTATGTTAAGACAAAGATATTTGTTACAATTATTGTTCTTGTTATAGTTTCTATACCAAGAATGATAACAAGAACAATAACATATCCACTTGCTCCATTGCATTCCTGTCTGACCATTTCATACAGTCAGAGGGATTTATTTTGATAATTGGACTTGCTATGCCAACAATTGATTACGATGCGAGTATTGGAGCTAATATCATATATGCGACGAGTCAGGAAGGCCTTTGCTGAATTATTTGGTGATTCCAAATAAGAGATCTATAAATTGTTTGTTTCGATCTATATATTTAATAAAATTTTTTATGGAACTATGGATATTTCTTAAGAAACTAGTGTTTCCATAAGCTTCAATTATTAGAAGTAATTAATTTTCAAATTCATTATGCAAATCTTTGCTTTTGAATATTATTAATTTAATTGCATGAAAATAATAATATATTGATTTTTATTTTGAATCAAAAAATTGCAATATGTGACTGATTATATATTTATTCATTATCCATATTATCCATTTCGAATTTGTCTGTCTCTGTATCCCCAAGGATTTCTTCCAAACCATCAATAATGGCGTGTTTCTTCCAGTAGAAAACGTGTATGATTCCCATTAAACCGTAAGCAATTATAGGTGCTGCTATAGTTGTGTATCCAAATATTGAGTATATTTTTGTATATGGGGAATCCATTTCTTGTTTTGCTAAAAAGCTATATAAATCTTCAGATTCTTTTTGATAGTCTTCATATTTTTCATCCTGATTGTATTTTTTAACTTCCTCTAGTGTGAAAATTCCATTGGGTGGAATAAAAAGACCTATATCATTTGGGAAAAGATGACCATTTGAAGATTCCTCATTATTTTTGAAATAGTCCACTTTAAATGAATATTTTGCGGTAACATGATTGTCATCTCTAGAACGCGTATTGAGGCCAACTAATGGAATTATGGAACCTCCTGTACCATTATTAATAAGCTCTTCGTCGCTCAAAGTTAAATAATATTCTCCAGCCCAGAATCTTAAAACGGATTCATTTCCGCCGCGTTCACGTGAATATGTATATTTGGAAGTTTTTCCCGGTTGACTTATATGATAAACATTTGTGCCACGATCTAAAATGTAGTTGCTGTTACTGGAATCAAAAGTTCTACGGAGGGCAAATAAATCTAATGAATCATACATTTTTGTGGAGAAATAAACTTTGACCTCTGTGTCTTCAATAAATTTTCTGTTTAGCTTCTCATTCAGGAAAATTTTTCGAAGAGATGTTAATATATTAGTTTTAACAGCATCGCTATGGCCATCGTAACTTTTTAGGGTTGTTTTCTTTAACTTTACTGGTGCAGAAATTGGAAGAATTGAGATAGTGCATGATGCTGATTTACACTGATATTCTGGAAAAGAATAGGATGGACTATCATCAAAATCATGTAGATTTATAACAGAAAAGGGATTTAAATATTCTGTCCTGTTGAGTGTTACGGAATAGGTGCCTGTTCCACTAACAATGTGATGAAATTTAACTTTAATTAAATCTTGTGGGGTGAAATATATGTTTGTATAATTGGGACATCCTCGTCGGTCAACATTTTTACTTATATTATCATATCTCATTTCATAATACTCGAATATTAAAGAAATTATTAGCATTGTAAATGGTTTCGATTGCCAATAAAAATTTCAAGTTTTTGAATTATTTTGAATACTTTGAAAGCAAAAATTATGATAATTCGAATGCACTCAAAAGGGATAAAAAGAACGACTTCCTATACAAAATGTAGTGACTTTTAATCCGCCACTTCAAATTAACGTCCGTTAGATTAAGATTTTGATGATTAACTTACAGAAATAAATGCTTTGACTATTAAGAAAAAAGCATAATGGATTATAAATTATAACGTATAATTTTGTGAGATGATTGAATTTTTTTCTTGCGAATTTTCATAACAATATACCATTCGTAAAGGAAAAAAAAAGAACGACTTCCTATACAAATTTTAGCGACTTTTAATCCACCTTTCAAATTAAGACCTCAATTCAGAATTATGCAGTTAGATTAAGATTTCGATGATTAACTTACAGAAATAAATGTTTTGACAATATATGAATATAAAAAGTTTTATGAATTTAATTACAAAAAGTATAGTTTTAAGAGCTGACTGAATTTTATTTCTTTTGGATTTTCACAACGATATACCTTTTGGAATAAGACAAACGATATAGTCGCATTCTAAGACATTTTTATCAAAAAGTTCTAAAAATGATTATTTTGTTTATTATTATTTCTATATGCTGGACTCAATATTTTTTTATTTTTTTTAAATTGAAATATATTGAATTTAAAAATTTTAAATCAAAATGGGAGGCTTAACTCTAGTTTCATTAATTAATTCGTTTGTTACATTTATTCAAAACATTGCCATTGGGCTTGGATTTTTCAAACTTCACCCACCTCGCTGGCTCAAAATATTGGGAGATGCCATTATTCATTTTATTTCAACAATTCTTGATATTAATAACTCAATACAGGAACTCAGTCTATCTGCCAAACTAATATTAAATTGCATCTTACTTCCAATGTTCTTATTATTTATAGGGCAACTTTTTTTGGGAAGTGTATCAATATATTTGGGATATTTCCTTTTCCCAGGAGCTAGTATTTTTGGTTATGGCATTTATGAAATCTCAAAAAATTCAAAGGAATATATTGGTCTTGTTTTAGGTATTGGAGTGACAGTTTTTGTAATTCTTGTCTCTTTAGCGATATTTTGTTGCAAACCTCTCAAATATTACGAATTTAGGCATCTTGATAAAAGTATATTCTTAGGATTTATGCATTTAATTTTCTTTGCATTATACCTATTATGCGCGGTTGCAAGTCTAGGCGTAATCAAGGGATATGCAAGCGAAGATTTCAAGGGAGCATTTTTCCCTGTTGGTACAATATTCTTTTTCATTGCCGCAATTTGCTATTTAGTGTATGCAATTCTAAGGATGACTTCATGTGGTGCAATCAAGTTAAGCAGACTTAAAGTGTTTATAAGATTAAATGCTATGAAATTGATTTTCATTATTTTCAATGCGATTTATTTGCCAATCTTTCAATCTATTCTGTATTCTTTAATGACAATCAAAAATGTATGTCCATCGGGAACATATCCTTACTCATACTATGCAAGTAATGTTTTTTCTTCAAGATATTTTTCATGTATTAGAAATGAAAATATTTCCGAAAGTAATAGTGAAACAAGATTTAGATTTAATCTTGCAACACAAACAAAAGAATGGAAATATGAATATGCTCCTCAAATTGTTTTTTGTATCATTTTTGTAATAATTGCATACCCTTTGGTTGTATTCTTCGTTATAAATGTAATACATGATAAATATGGAGATGAAGCTTACAAAATGGAGAACGCAGGAGCAAGTTTATTTAAAGACTATAGGCAAGAATACAAGTATTGGCCCCTTGCTTCACTATTGTATAAGTTGGTTGTTGCAACAATAACAATTATGGCGAACTTATATGTCCCTGGTCTGATGTTATTATTAACATTCGTATATGTTGGTTATGGCGTTTTGATTTTCTTCCTTAAACCATTCGAAAATAAGTTTAACAATTGGATCGAAATTGCAAACAATGGTTTGAGTTTTATCTTCTCATTTATTTCAGTTTCAGCTGCATTCGGCGCTAATGTTCCACCTCTTGTATTGACTATAATGAGCTCAATTGAAACAATCATTTCCATTGGTCTAGAAATTGCTGCCTATGTTATTGACAAGAAAAACAGTCAGAATGAAGAAAAGGCGAAGAAAATGAAAGAACTTGAAGCAAATTATTTATTGGAAAAACCACTTTTATATTATACAACGGTTTTCTTTTACTTTGGTTGCTTTATTATTGGATTTTTCGTTGCTAATATTATAGCAATTACAACACCAGTTAAGAATGATCTCGAAATGATTCCCACAAATACGTGCGTATTCCTAGAATATGAGCCAAAGATGGACTTTCTCGATACTAATAAATGTGTTCATCTTAGCGATATCAAACCGTCTATAGAAGAGAGATATTATACCGATGAATGATAATTCCTATCAAACTTATATGAAAATATTTAAACATTGAATTTCATTCTTTGAAATTTACTTCTTTTTATTTTCAATTTCAAAAACTTTTTTGAAATATTAGGAATGTTCTTTAGCCAAACTTTTCGTTTTTCTGGAAACTTGAATGAATGCCAATTTGTAATGTCTTTAAATAGCATAATTGATGCTTTTTTATGAATACACAGACTGTTATTTATGGCTTTAGGGTCGCGAATTGTTTAATTTAAATTCACTTTGTGTTTATTTTTCCTTCATTGATTAGATTTTAGATATTTAGATATATGGTCGGAATACCTTTGTATAGGACAGTATACACTATTAAGTTTCTGAGTCGTAATTGCTTTGAAGAAGAATTAAAGTGGCTTAGTAGACTCGACTCTTAAAAAAAACATCATTCCACTTTCAAAGAGCTTAAACGATGATATGAAAACCAATTCGAATGGGCAGTTTTAATGAACATTATCATGAATAAAAAATAATTAAAAAATTATCAAAAATACAAAAATATTTTTAAGTAGATTAATCGAATGGATTGTAATTCGAGCCATTATCAGAATCATCACTACTATCGAAATTAAACATGTGCACAGCAATTGCTGGGGCCGCTCTTCCTGCTTCTCTGTCCAAAGCAAGGATGTCAGCGTTTATGTCAAATGTCATCAAAGATTTGCCATAACCCTCGCTTAGAAAGCCTAGCTTAGCCGTAATAGCCTTCTGAACTTCTTTCCATGACTCAAAATTATTTAATGCTGGCAAATTGTCTTCTTTTAATTTAAAGAATCTGGCTAATCTAAACACATGAGCATCCGGTCTTTCCAGTTTAAGATTTTCGTTTATCTTGTCAATTACGTTTGAATTTTGAATACTTAAATTAATTTCATCAATATCGCAAAAAACAACAGCTTTAACAATACTACTTGTGAGAAATGTATAGAGTAGATTATTAAATAGCATGTCGTAGAGTTTAACGCTTTGATGTGGATATATTGAAATTAAATCTGGTAAATATGGAGTTATTTCCTGGAAGTTGAAATCATTTTCGTGTTCTGCTATTTCTTTATTGTATAACGATGATTGTTTTTTGATTAATTTAATTTCTCTAAAAGCAAGCATTTTTAACTGAGTTGAGGCTGTTTCCTTAAGCACAGCATTGAATAGAGCTGAAATAATGCCCGAATAGTCGTAATCTTCAAATGGATTTTCGGCATTTATTTCTGCCAATTTTGGTAAAAACCAGGTTGTTATAGATATTGCGGGAATTGCAAATGTTTCTTTATACTGGATCGCTTGGCTTAGCTGTTCAAGTAATAGATCTTTGTCTTCGATATAAAAGTTGAATTTCATGAGAATTAAAAGAAGTAATTCGCTATACATTCCGTCGTTAAGACGTTTAATAAGCTCTGGGAATATGTCTTGCATATCTGAAAGCAAAGATCCAGAAGTGAAAGCTAAATAAGTTGTAAGAATTCGTGTAAAATGAAGAGATAATAGAGGTATTTTTGCTGCATTTTTATCGAAAAAGTTTAATAAGAATCGTGTGAATCCTTCATCACTGCAAAGACGATCTTGTATTGGAGATTTCGAAACTAAAACTAGAGTGGCTTTTTCTGAATATGTGTAGAAGTCTTCCTTATCCATAAAATCATCTTCTAGTGAATATTTAAGTATTTTTCGGAAGCATTTGCCACTCAATAAGAAATCAACTACTTCTTCGTTTTCGTCTTTGAGTGCAGCAGCCAAAGATTTATGAAGCAAAACTGTTTCTAAAGTTGTTTCATCGTTTGATACTAAATTGATCAATTCTTCTAGTGAACCTTCTTCCATTATTAAAATCTCAAGAAAATTAAAAGAAAAAAATAAAAAGCATTAATATATTAAATGTGATCAAATAATCAAATATAATGATATAAGCTAAATTCACAATGCTATTGCCTTAAATATCAATACAATACATTTAATATGTACTAGAGACACATCTCGTAAACATTCTCAGTATGATTTCATGTAAAACAACGATGTGTAATCAGGCAATACCTTTATTCTTATTTTGCAAATAATAGTAGTATATGATGCGGGTTGTGTGACTTTTTTTGTAATCGTAAGAATTCTCACATAATTGAATGATTTTTGAACATACTTCCGAATAGCAGATTTTAAAAATTTATGAATAATTTATAAAAAGTTTTTATTCCTACAATTCCTATATTACCATTAATAAAAAGAATATATTTTATAATAGTTTCATTTCGAACATGTTAAAATTTATCTGCATTTCGAAAAATTTTATTATAAATGATAATATAATTTATTAAATTAATATATAACTTATGAATTTTTACTTTTTGTATGAAATAAAATTTAGTATTAATAAAGTTATAAAATAAATTGGTGCATGTTAGATGTAAATAAGATATAAAAAGGTGTTTATGAATACTTTAGCAGAACTTCTACTGGTAGAGTTTATACTGGCAGAACTTCTACTGGTAGAGTTTATACTGGCAGAACTTCTACTGTTTCCCTCAAAATTGAATACTTTAGCAGAACTTCTACTGGTAGAGTTTATACTGGCAGAACTTCTACTGGTAGAGTTTATACTGGCAGAACTTCTACTGGCAGAACTTCTACTGGTAGAGTTTATACTGGCAGAACTTCTACTAGTAAAGTTTCTACTGGTAGAACTTCTACTGGCAGAATTTCTACTGGTTATATATGGTGTCAATTTTTTAAAAAATTTTGAATTCAATGAGTTATATCAAAAATAAAATTCTTGAATAGAGTAAAAAAATTTAAATAATTTATTTAAATATTTTCTTCTGACATTTTTGAATAATTTATTTTTTTAATTCGTAAGAAAATGAGTGGATCAAGATTCGTAACCGTCAATCAATTAATGGATGCTCTTTCACCAATTCTTGAAAATGTTAAACAAGTAGATGTTTATTTCGATGATTATGTAGAAAGTTTATATTATAAAGGTAAACATAATATTAAACCCATTGCTTTTGCATTTGATAATAAATTAATTGAAAATGCAAAAATTTGGGAATTAATTCCAGATATTGAATATATAACGAATATAACTAATAAATGGTTCAAACGAATTCCAACCACAAAAGTTCTTTGTAAATTAATGATCAAAACCGAGGCCAAAGAATTTCATGAATTTACATATCATCCAAATAAAGTTTCAGAACTAGAAAATGAAAAACTTCAGAAAAAATTAAACGATAGACTTTCAAATGATCGTATTGAAAAAATAAATAAACTAGCAGAAGTTGCATTTAATAATGAAATATTTGATGAATATAACCTTGAACTCAGTGATGGGCTTTAAGGACCCGGGCTCAACGAGTCATGATTTATGAAATCAATAATTTGATTTATTCGCTCTTCAATAATTTCTATTCTTTTTGTTAAATTGTTGCATGCTAAGTTCGGTCAAAATGTAAACCTCTCAATTTTATCGTCGGGGGAAGTAACTCAATTCCTTCAAAATTATTCTTTAAATATTGAATTTAAAGTTATTTAATTTGGATTATAAATAAATAGGCTAATACAATATTTAAAAATGAGAAAAAATAACTTTTCAAAGAACTTTTCATAATCTCAAAGAAAATTTTTTATTCAATAATTATATAAATTAATTAACATTCATAATGAAATTGGATTTTTTTTATAAAAAATTGGTCCTACTTAACTTTTTGAGAGAATTTGGCTTTCTCGTAAACGAAAAAGGGGATTTGACGGAGTCAAATCCCCGCTCACAAAAAGTGGACTTTACATGTCAAATTTTATATGCATGTAATGTCCACTTTTATGAGTTTTAGGAAGGAATTGGAAGCCATGAGTTACTGACATTGCATCAGTAGCTCATAGCCTCCAATTCCTTCAAAAAATGGGAGAAACTTTGTCCGAATAGTTTAACATTCGGACAAAGTTTCTCCCATTTTAAGAAGGAATTGGAGGGTAAGAGATATACCATATGAATGTATATCTCTTACCCTCCAATTCCTTCTAGAAAGTGTCCAAACTTTGGGTTAATTGCAAAGTATTAACCCAAAGTTTGGACACTTTCAAGTGGAGATGGAAGGCTTTGGGGTATATATTAATACAATATACCTCAAAGCCTTCCATCTCCACTACAAATGTGAGAAACTTTGTCCGAATAGTTTAACATTCGGACAAAGTTTCTCCCATCTTTCAATGTAATTGCTACCTGTGAGGTACTGACTTGAAGTCAGTGCTTCACAGGTAGCAATATCCAAAAATTTAAAAACATTTTATCAGTTCGTTAGAGAACTAGAGCCTCCTAGGTACTGAACCAGAATCAGTGCCTAGGGGACTCTAGTGATCTATATAAATCTGAGAAACTTTGAGGAAATTGTTCGACATTTCCTCAAAGTTTCTCAGCAATTTAGCGAGGAATGTTCGTTATCGTGTAGATATTTATAATATATACATGATAACAAACATTCCCCGCTAAAAGATGTAAAATCTTATAAGAAATAATTGCAAAAGAATAACAAATTGCAACAAATTTTATATGAAACTGAACCTTATGAGGTAGTGATTCAAGATCACCGCCTCATAAGATTCAGTTTCAATCTCAAGTATCTCAAAAGTAAGGCTCTATTTTTTGCCATGTAAAGTGTCACTTTTCTGTCCAAATGATAAGTTATTCAGAGAAAGTTTCCCAGCTATCAAGAGGGAATTGTTCCTTATGAGGTATATATTCATACTGTATACCTCATAAGGAACAATTCCCTCCTTAAAACGAGAAAACTTGTTCGAAATTGTTTATCATTTCGAACAAGTTTTCTCGTTTTTAATAAGAAACTAAAGGCTATGAGGCACTGATTATATATTAGTGCCTCACAGCCTTTAGTTTCTAATAGATAGCTGGGAAACTTTCTCCAAATGATAAGTTATTCAGAGAAAGTTTCCCAGCTATCAAGAGGGAATTGTTCCTTATGAGGTATATAGTTATAATGTATACCTCATAAGGAACAATTCCCTCATTAAAATCGTAGATATTTTTTACTTATTACTCATGCTTTCAAAATCACAATCCTCTGAAAAGTTATTTTTTATTAAGAATTTAGAATTTTGATAAATACCTTTTTTCAATTTGATATAATACTTATATATTTTCAAAAAGACATTTTGAAAAGATATCTCAAAAGTTCTCTGAAAACCTATTTTTGATTAATTTTGAGAAATATCCGTATTAAATTAATCACTAAATTCATTCAACACTACTTTAATTTTTAAATTCAAAAAATTATATGTGCTTCTTAAAATGTCTCACAAAAATTTTATTATAAAATTATATACAATATTAAAAATCCCACAACATTTTTTACTTTACATAATCGTACTTCCTCGACGATTAATTTTCCCTCAATTCCTATCGTTGACCGAACTTAGCATGCAACAAAATCATCTATTTTCATTAATGAGGTGATTCTTGATTGAGGAATAGATTTCAAACTAACCACTCCTTTTATTTTTGAAATTTTGAATCCATCAACTTTAAACATTTTATTCAATTTACACGTTGTCAATTCTTCAAATAATTTTTTATTATTAGCATAATAGTCATTAAATTCTTCAACAGATGAAAAAATTTTTATTTCAGTAATTGGTTTAACAACGTTTATTTTTTGTTGAACATCTTTACTTTCATTTATTTCTTCCTCCTCTGTTTCATTTATTTTTAAAATTGGTTTCATTTATCATTAAATAAAAATTAGAATATAAGTGATGAAATATATTTTTTAATTAATATTAAATCAGAAATGGCGGCAGGATTCTTTAAAAAATTATGGGAAGGAATTAAGAAAGCTGCGGGTTGGGTTCATCAAAAGATTATTAAACCCATTGCAAACTTTTTGGCACCAGTAGCGAAAACGGCAGGAACTATCATAGGTGGAGTATTAGGTACTAAAGCAGGTAATCCGGCGATGGGAGCACAAGCAGGTAACGCAATTGGTGGAATAGCTGAAGGAATACTTAATAAAATAGGAGGTAGATAGTGGAAAAATAAATAAATATTATTTTTATCTTAGTATCGGTTGAAGTCTTTGATAAACTTTTTCTCCCTTTATTTAATACTTCTCTTATTGGGGCAGCTTTTGGCGTTATTGATTCAGCAATGTCACTAATTGCTTCTTTATTCTTAAATATCCAATTTGCTCCTTTCTTCATTGTTTCCCAAACTTTATGCGCTCCTCTTTTTACTTTATCCCATAATTTTTTAAAGAATCCTGCAGCCATAGTTGATTATTTCATTAAAATTAAAAATTCATTTTCATCTTTTAATTTTGATTTTTTATTTATTAATAAATGACGACTAACTATTTGGTGCCAAACACTAAACCGATTAATGGAAATGTGTTTCATTCATTCGAAAAGATAAATGAAATATTCGCAAAGAATGACGGTAGAAGATATTATAGAGAACTTGAAAGTTCATGCTATGACTCTGATGCTCCATATTTTGATGATAAACAAACTCATTTAAGAATTACAAATCCGGCTCATGATGTGAACCAATTAGGTGACACATATATTAAACGCAAAGTTAAAGCAACTCTAGTTTCAAATAAAGCTTTCACATGTGATGCCGCTTTTAAATGCATGCGTTTATTCGTTGGTTACAAATCATCAAATCAAAGCTTTAAACAATTAGAAGTAGAAACCGAAAGAGGTTGATGCTGGTTATCTTCAGATGGATTGCGCCCGTGAATCTTTCGCATTTGCAACATATAAACCAAAATCAGAAAGGAAAGTTAAAAAGTTTGTTCATTCGTTATATAATAATG